GAGTTGAAGTTCAATAATCATAATGAACCGATGACGGCCATCAATTGGGGTTTATGTGTTTTCAAGGTCCTCCTTTTCAGCAACAATGTCTCTTTTGCGTAAAAGACCGAGACAAAAGAGTTACAAACTAATGAAAGTCAAAAATCAGCGGTTAGGTTAGAACTAGAAATTCTCAATATTGTTCGCCTGTTCTCAGAATCAGGTTAGTGGGTAAAACTAGAACTTGCCTTGCCTTGACTATTCATCAGTCACATACCTATAGACGATCAGTGATTTCGTATGTTACATTTATGTGTAACTAGTTGGCTTTCCCGGTCCAGCCCGGGCCTTATTCCGTTCACTTGCACTGCAAGCCCCCCCCCCTTATATGTTATGGATGACTTACCCTAGGGACATCCGCTTCAAACCGCATCCTCGTGATAATGATGTTAAAATGAGCTTCACCGCCCTCCTTTACAGATTATGGGAAAATGCTCAATTCCTTAGAAAAACGTAAACAAATCAATAAATCGATAGAAGGACCAAACGAATCGCCGCAAAAAGTAGCCTATCATCTGCGCAGGGGTCGAAAACATATGTGTGCAAAGTTTCAGCTGAATTGGTTGAGCGGCGCGCATTTCTATAACGCACATACCCTCCAAACTGACAATTTTTGAGTTTTATATATATATAGATAACAAATGAAAGAACTTATGATTTTGACATGAACTCATTACTTAACCGTTCACTCTGAGCATTTTGCTTGACTTGTACTCAGATTTTGAAAAGTTGTTCGAAAAGTTCTTTTTGTTCTCCGTTTTGCGAACAATATAGCTACGAAAAAGAATAACCCGAGAACATATAAATCTCAGTTTTGGTCCTGATAGGTTCACTATGATTGTTGAACTTCAACTTCGAGTATTCTTTTAAAACCTCAATCAGCATTGCAAGTGCCGATCACTTGATTTTAATGATTGTCGATAGACAAACTTTAGTAGTTAAACATTTTTAGCGAAGTTCGTGCAGTTACAGCAGCTACGCGATTTCTTTACGCCCGTCCTGCCTACTATACCAAGTCGATGATCTGTTTTATTCTACAATCTTTGCCGTACTATCACTGCATATTCAGCGATTTTAGACGTTCCCCATTTCTTCATTAGATAAAGCTCTCCGAAATAATGCAGTCTAACAAGGAAAATTTGCTGTCCTTACCCAAATCTAAAAAGGAAGTTTGAGTTTTTGGGTCTGTTTCAGTTCTAAGCTGAATTTTCTAAATGATTTTCAATGTATTTGAAGAATATGAATGAACGTTCTTTGTAAGATTGTTATTGTTTGTTCTCAAGGGGGGGGGTAGAGCAAGGGTCAAAGGGGACTTCGTAAAATTTTCGGAAGTCAGGGGAGACTCCTTTTTCAAAAAACATAAAAACGGACTCGTGCCGGGCCCTGGTGTAGACACTTACAGTACGGCGGCCCAAAGAGGTTAAGAGAAGAGAAGTCATGAGCGTCCACTCGGTGGCTCGGCATCGGAGAATCTCCTCGAGAGCGTCACTTGACCGTCATCGTCACGCCCTAGACATATGAGTCAGCCTCCGAAGAAGCATTCATAGACATGCTTACACCTGTATAATTGTCATGTCCACAATGAAGTTTGAATTTTTCTAAGATCAATCTTCACGCTTCGATTCAATCTTCGATGGAAGAAGAATGAAGTACGCTGTTTGCGAACATGTTTGGTAACCTGCAAACATATTGTTGTTTTGACGTATTAGCTTTCTCATAAGTTTTTAGTTATTCGAAGCTCACCAATCTCTGTTTCTCAGACTTGTCTGATGTGGAAGCATATGTGTAAACAAGTGGGAGATCCTGAAGAATCTCTTTATGGGGTTTTCACCTTGGATAATTTTCAGAAGTTTTGGATTTGCTTTGTAGCTCCCCTTGCGAAAAACAGTAACGAGCTCTGAGTGAAAATTAAAATTGGCGAGATTCCATCAAAATGAACAGAGGTGGAATAATTGTACTTTCAAATAATTACTAGTACTTGAAAAACCATCTAGCAAGCATCGTGTGCAAAAGAAAAACTGTTGTGACGAAAATAGGAAAAAGTAGGTAGGTCAATAGTTGAAACAAAAGCAATGAAACGGTGAACACTATTGAAAGTTCAAAGGCGTTGGCTTGGAAAATTTCAGCTGCGCGCTTTGTGTTCCTCCTTTGCCTTCTGGGTACGTTTAGACCAGAGCTGTGCTTGGAAAGTCAAAAAAATGCTTTCTATGGCATTTTCCGGTTTTGGAGATTGTTGAGGCTCCCGCCAGAGTGCCGAAGTTATGCCAGCGCTACGCCAGCATTTCGATCGATACACGTGTAATTCGTTGGGGACATCAGCTAGCCCCGCCCCAACGAAATACACGTGTATCGATCGAAATGCTGGCGTAGCGCTGGCATAACTTCGGCACTCTGGCGGGAGCCTGAGGAGGCTGCACCGGAGAATCCCGCCAAAAACAGTGACTGGCCGCAGGAGTCTGTAACAGCACTCATTCTGGCGGTAATTGGCTGATTGGCCCAGGCAGCCAATCGCGGCTCGGCTGCGCCAATCCCCGCTCCAGCCTCCTAGCAATCTCCAAATCCGGAGAACAACATAAAAAGCATTTTTTTGACTTTCTAAGCACAGCCTGGTCTAAACTCATCCAAAAGGCTAAGAAGGAACAGAAGGCGCGCAGTTGGAATCTTCCCGAGCCACCACCTTTGAGAAGCTATTTCGAGCGGGATCTTTTATCAGTTTTTGTGGTCAAAAAATAACGGAAAACTATGTATTTGGTCCCTTCACTGAAAGATAGATTGAACAAAAAAAGTCTATGTCAAATAAAATGTATAGGTGATTCATCGCAAGCAAGGACTGCGGACGTATCGGCGTCTCTCCGATCAAGCGCTGTTTCGTTTCTCTTACTATCTGCCTCTCCCATGCACGAGCAATTTTGGTCGGACGCAAAGGCGCCCAGTCTTTGCTTGTTGTGAATGGCCGATATGTGAATTTCCGAAATTTAGGCTCCAAGCAAGTTGGCCCAGAGAAGCCCTGTATTGCGACTTGTTTGACACACTGCGCTATCCATTTGCATGTTATGTCCAAAAATTTGTTTAGAGGAGCTAGTAAATGCGCTGACTATAATGGTCTATTCGTTCCACAATGGAGGTTGTGAGCAACGTAGTTGTATGGTGAATTGCCTCTCAACAAATCTCTCCAGACCTCTAAGGTGCGTTACTAAGTGCGCTGATTACAGCCAATTTGTTTTGTACATCAATCAGTTTATTCAAAGCATCACCATCCATACTACGCGTGCCATACTGGAGGTCGTTAGCCATAAGGACAAATTGCTTGATCATTGCTTTTCCAAGGGTCTCTCTAATAAGTTTCGTTCATTTTGCGTATCAGTGAAAGCACTTAGTGGTATTCTTCCGAATTTTTATGCAAAACGATCAACACACCCAAGATGGATACGCGCAATGTGGAGTGTGTGTGCAATGACACACATTAAGGCACAAAACAAGACTGCACATTAGCCGTTGTGGGGGTGGGGACTGTATGTCGCCGAGAGGAGGGCCCGCCGGCCATCTGCAGCAAATATGCATTACAATACATGCAAGCTGAGCATCTGCTGCGTTGCTCAGATAACCGCCGGCGGCTGGCGGCCACGCGATTTTTGAGCAAGCGGGCACCGGAAAGATAGTTCGCTGATTTCTTGGGCTCCGGTTACAGAAATTTGGAAGAATATTGGCCAATTTTCTGACGAATGGTAATAGAGGGCTCAGCTTTGCAGAACGTTAAAGGCAGCGTCCAGGCAAATCTGAACATAGGGGGTTCTGATGTGGAAAGTGATTTTGGGTCCCTAACTAAGACATTGCCCGAGCGGCAGCTCAAATGGTGAACTCACAGTTGAGATATCCGCGGGATCGTATTCGCATGGATTCATGGCGCGACACACAGTTTCGCGCGAGGACCACGCGTGTTGCGCCATGAATCCATGCGGATACGATCCCGGGGTCCAGTTTGGAGGCGAATATCTCAACTTCATCATTTGAGCTGCCGCTTGGGCAGTGTTCTAGTTAGGGCTCCAAGATTACCCTCCAAGTGAGATCCCCATAGATCCAGATTTGCCTTGACGCTGCCTTTAACCAGAGGTCTGCCAGCAAAACCACAGTCTACTAGTAGCATCTCTTTGGGAAAGAAAATGCAATCCAAATTGAGATTTTTGTCAAAATCCCTCCAAAAACAATGAAAAAACAGAATTTTCGTCCAATAGAGGGCTCAGCTTTGCAGAACGTTAACCAGAGTTCTGCCAGCAAGAATCAGTCTACTCGTAGCGTCTCTTTGGGTAATCAAACCAGCGATGACACCTCTGTCACATAGAGTCTCACCTTTGCTCGGCGTACGCCCGAAACTGCTTAAAAAGAGTCCGAGCGCCTGCTGAAAGTTAGGCCAGCGCTCGCTGAAAGAAGTTAATAGACGACCGCTTGTAGAAAACTCTGCGCTGCCCGCTGGCAGAACATACGACACCAATTGAAGAATCGCTCGGTCGAAGTTTGGCCACGCCCCAAAATTGTGCTGATCGCCTGCAGGAAAGCGCGAGTTTGCGGACCGCCTGTCCCCAGCGATTGTCTGAGTGCTCGCGCGACACCCTCCCACTTTCGGCGACATAGTCCTCTACTCCTGTTGTGGTATAGTGCAGGGATACAAAATACGATGTATGTCCTCGCATGTATCTATCAAGCTGCTTATGGTCAATTCTGCATGCTCCTTGTAAATATAATGGTTCATTTTTTATCATCGTCATTCTGTAGGAGTGCAGATGTTGACACATAGCATTATGTGGTATAGCTGTGTGTAATAAATAATTTTTTGTGTGGAGCTATTTTTCCATCCTATCCAAATTTGATGCAGACCCATTTCCGTCATGTTAACATCGACAAAATTTCATTTTCGACCATGTAAAGCATAGAATCTTTGTAAGCGATGAGACCGAACAAACAGAAGACACGTATGTGAATAATCACAATTTGTAGATGATTTCCGAGATTATGAAAAGGTCAGTTTGGATCAGAATGCGAGAACTAAGATTACACTGGCACGCATAGGAATATGCAGCAAATGGAGACCATCATATCCTGATGTAGCAAGGGTGTCTGTTTCGAAAAAAAACGGCGAACAGTAGAAGGTTAATGCGTATCCTATAAATAGAAATGCATTGCTTATTAGTGCTTCATAAGATTCCCAACAATCAGCAAAATTTTACCTGCATCTTCCTTCCTCGTGTTTCTATGGGAAGCGCCAAGGATGCAATCAATCCCAACAGTGATGTAGTACCATATATTCCGATGGGAAGCGACAGCGATGTTCCCGATGCCACCTAAAATATGGTTATTGAGAGATAAAAAAAATCATCATGATTGATACAGGGTGTTCGAAAAATTTCTGGCCTCAAGTGCTTCAACTGCAAATCCTAACCCATTTTTTGCTGTGTTCGCTAAACTTAGAAATTACTGGGTCAACAAAGAATAATATTGCTTGCCTCAAGATACTTTAAAAAATTCGGAAGCAAACAAGTTTTTCAGCTTCCTTGAAGAGGCGGAAGAGTTGTTCTACATTTTTTCAATCCGGCAACGGAGACAGCTTTCCGTTTTTTGTCGCAAATAGTCTTAAGTTTACACTCTTTTTATATACCAAAAGTTCCTTATCAGCTTGCGAACAAAACTTTTTATCATGTGCTAACTTACAGAAGACAATCGCAGCACAAGCTTGCGTTGAAATTTTCTAGGTTTAAAAACTTTTGGAAGTCTTATTTCAACACGAATTTGTAGCGCAGCTCTCTAATCTTCATTACATTAAAATACGAGAATTTTGCACGCTTGTGAAGATTTTAAAGATAATATATCAAAAAAAGTTCGGAGCTGGATTTACTGACGAAAAAATCCTGAAACTGAATCCTTTGTATTTCAAGGCACGATATTTCAAAACGAACTTACTTCTACGAAAATAAAATCACATGTAAGAAACCTTAAAGAAAAGGCTTTTAGAATGTATACCAAGTTCCTGTGAATTATGTTTCCTTCTATGTAACAAGCGTTTCAAGGAAAGTAGATAGTTTTAAAAGCAATATTGATGTTTCAATCTAATAAAGAAAAACTTTTAAAAAACTCAAAAAAACATGGTTTCACTGAAATAATGGTATCTAGGCCTGATAAGCACAATAAAACAAAAAACGCGTCAAAATTGGAATTGGACTTTAGGACACTTACTTTCCAAACATCATTTACATGCGGCGAGAGATGTTCTGTCTTTAAAGGTTGTCATGTTCCAACAGAAAAAGGGACCATTGGCCACTGAATTTCAGTTTGGATTGGAAAACTGCTATTAAGTATTTGGTACACTAATCATTCTTCGTTGCGTAACACAACTTTTCTTGAGATACGGTAGAAAGCGGTAGCAAAGGGCTTGTGAAGCATATGGGTCTCATGGGGGTGCTACGAGTTGATGTACTTATGTGAAAATTTAAACTAAAATTTTAAATACAACAAAATATCATGCCTTACCTGCGCCACAAAAGGTGTCACGATGGCGCCGATTCGTGCCATAGCTGATGACGCTCCAAGACCGACTGCTCGCAATGTTGTTGGATAGACCTGGAGAACTGGGTAATTTGGATGAGACGAACGTCCAGGGAGGGAAAAGAATGAAAGAAAAACGATAGCGCTACGAAAGAAACTCTAAAAGAGATCCTTGGTTAGCATAGAAAAGTTTTCTTACGAAATTGTTACCTCCTTTAGAAGCAGCTCAAAAAGGTGCGAAAAACGTGCGTTAATTCCAGGGCTCGGCAGAGGTGGCTTATAAGCAAGCTGGATATCTTTTTTGAGACAAAAAGCAAAGGGGGTTTCGTCTTCGTAGCCGAAAAGACACAAAATTTGCGACGTTTTTTAAGTCGACGCATTCTTTGGAGATTTTTAGGGATTATGGTCTAAAGTCAAAGGAGACTTCGTAAAAATTCGCAAAAGTCAAGGGAGAATTTTTTTTCCATTTCTAACTAGCCACCTCGTGCCCAGTCCTGGTTAATTCTGTTACAACCTAGTACCTACCTCTGGCGTGTAAACATATGCACACTGGAAAGCGCCGGATATGAAGGCTCGAGCGACGAATATTAATGCTGTTACGGTAAACCTAAAATATCAAATCGATGCTTCCAAATGCAAGCATTATATCTTCTTACCTGTCCAAGCAAAAATACAACGCATAAGTGAACAAAGAGAAGACGGCGAATTCTAATGCCATCGCTTTCTTTCTACCCAAGTATTCAATGATAAGTACAGTAATGATCAGACCTAGAATGGAATAACTGTAGCTGATAAAATTACACTTCTAAACGACCTGGAAACTCGGCCATGGTAGTAGATAATAGATCAAAGTAATCTTTTCGGGTCAATGGCTGGCAGACTTCCAGCTGCGTCCCGTTCGAGAACAATCCGCCATGGCATTCGTCGTGGGATTGGAAGAGTACGGTGGTGAATAATACCATGCCGTAGTAGGAAAACGCATTCACTGCCCAAATAAGCCATAAAAGCAAAGTGGTGGTACGGTAGTCACGGGAGAGAAGATTTGAGATGTCTCCACGTTGTTCAGTCTGAAAAAACGAAAACTTGTGATTTTTGTACACTTCCGTAACCGCGTCGTATGCTACCGTAATCCTTGCACCGAAAAGAGCGCAACCTTTTATACATCCAGAGGGAGCGAAACGCATCGACCTCAACACATTGGCGCTCAATATTCTCGACGCCTGTGCGCATATACTATCTTACTGTACTTACTGTAGTGCAAAAAGGCCGTCCTGCAGAATAAGCCCTTTTTCAATCAGATATTTGGGTATATTATTGTTTTCATGGAATACGGAGCTTAGGACAAAGATTTGATATTGTCACATTAGTCAGTCTGCAAGAACAGAACTTCGCGACTTGTGCACCTTACCGTAATCTGGGTATGCTACCGTAATCTCTTCACAAACATGCAATTATGAGCAAGCTTAAAGAGAAAAAGAAAATTTGCAGATGCTTAGACTCGGACAATACGCGTGATGCACAATAGTCTAGGCGTCCTACTGCGCACGTGGTCCTTACTGTAGCTTACTGTGGTGCAAAAGGGCCGTTTAACAAAAAAAAACTTTTGCGGTTTATATCCTCGGATTTTCACTATGTTTAGACCCTCGAATTCTTTGCTTGTAGAGCCTATCTTATGGTAACATAGTGTGCAATATGGTGCGACCTTTTACACAAAACACGCCTTGCTATACGCATTCTTGGACTTTTACTGTTTTTATCAATTACTGAACCTACAGATTGAGAAATGGGTGCGACAAGTCTTCCATCCGGTAGTTTGGCTCGATTCTCTTTCGCCGCCCTTTGCAACGTTGCCAGTGCTTTTTCTGGTCGACCACAGGCCATTTCGAAGCGTGCTGACTCAGGAAGCCACTAAACATGGGTCAAATCATTTCCAGTTGTATAGTTCCAATTAGAGCAAGACTTACAAATGAAAGAAGTCCAAACATGCCCAAAGGCAGTGATGATAGGACCACAAGAGCCCTCCATCCCCATGAAGCCATCACCAAGTAGGCTAGCAGGGCTTCGAAAGCTGCTCCAATGGCCCAGAAAGATTCTATCAAGACCACACATTTGGCTCTTTGTTGATTCGGAAGGAATTCGGCGTAAAGAGTAACGCTAAAACATAAAAATCGAGTACATCAGTATATGCAAAGTTGCGTCCAAATGCATCTGAGCCGACGCTGTGCCAACGCTGTTCCAAAGTCGTGCCAGCGCCGATCGAGCGATGTGCTAGCGTCGTGCCGGAACGGATCCCACGTGGATCAATTTGCGCGTCGAATTTTATCGTCTGCATAGTTCCTACGTGGCACTTCTGGAACGGGTGCTGGCATGGCGCTGGCACTGGCAACTCTAGGCGCAGCCTAAGTGATCAGCTGAGGGTAAAAAACCGGACTTACGATTGTGGCACGCCACCGATTCCAAATCCGGTAAGACCTCGGAAAAACAGAAACACGTAGAAATGTGGTGAAAATGCGCTCAAGGCACCCATCAAAGAAGCCACCAACGTTGAGGCGACCAAACCCTAAAATATAACTACAATACTTGAAAATGTTCCAAAAAACCCCGAAACTTACCACCCGTCGACCGAATCTGTCGCATATTTTGCCCCAAAACGTGCTACTGAGCATCATTCCACTAAAAACACAAGTGGTTACCAGCGCCTGTTGGAAAGGGGCCACATTCCATTCACAAGCAAGTGCTGGTGAAAGTAATGAGAGTAGCATCATTTCCATAGCATCGGCCATCTGAACAATAATTTTGTTATACTCCTAAGCTGACATATCATCTTATATCCCTAAGCTAACATATCATCCAAAAAGTGCTTTTTTAAGCTGCAAGGGCACGTTTTCTAAGAATTCTGAATCGACATCCTTATAATCGCAATTTGCTCCGACAAAAAACTGCAGAGAAACGGGAAACTTAAAAAAAAAGGATGAATGCCAAATTTGAAAAATCTTGATATACAGGATCTCAAAATTATGCATGCACCAGTAGGGAAAAAATCGGAGAAATCTTCTTGGGAGAGGGGGGGGGGGAGCGACGAAAATTTTTTCCATCGAAATTCGTGCTGCTGTCCACATTTTTGTAAATTTTTGAGGAAGCTTGTCAGAATCATTTGCGGGCCTATATCCGCGAAAAATGTTTTGTCTTGGAATTACTCATTCTTAAAAATTCTTCAAGATCCAAAACTTGAAAATTTCATTGACGTGGTTGCCGCGAAAAAACGAAGAAGATTGAAAGTTATTACTCACCCAAGCGATGCCAGTCAGAAGACTCAGCTTCAGCTGAAATCGCCCAAACCCGAGTGCTTCAACGGCGTCATCAACGGTGAAGGTCCCGCTCTCCTTCGCCAAAGTCTCCTCAAAAGCATGCTGATCAGCTGGCTCACCGAGCTCAGCTCGGTCATCCAAGCCAAGATATCGTACAGAGAGATCCTCGCGGACATGGCGGAGCCTAAAAAGTACGTTCCACGTAAACTACTAACTCAAAAAGATAGGCATGTGAAAAAACGTATTCCGAACATGCTCAAAAAATGCTTGTTTAATAGGAAATTGTCTCCTTAGACCATCAAACCCCATTTATGCACAGAATTTGAAAAAAAACCTGAATCTTGGTTATCTAGCCAGTTTTTTTTTTCAAATTTTGAGCAGTTATGCAACTCAATAACGCTTTCCCGCGTTGACCCTTGAAACTCCAAAATTTCTCTCAAAAGCAGTTTTTTTGTTTAGCGAAGCAGCTGGTGTGTATAACTAAAATTATATTAAAATTTGAATGGAAAGAAAGGCAATTAACTCATAACGATAGTCCTGCGTACCCTTTGATTCAACGAGGCGCTGGAAAGCGACCGCTCGCGTCCGCGACGCAGTTCGAACGGAGAAAAATAGACAAATTCGAAAGGCCTCTGACGAAAGCTGGACAAAATTATAAAGCCACATGGGCGAACGTGCTCTCCGATCATACTCTGGCCTTAATTAGGTCAAGAAGCCCCGCCTTCCAGCCGCCAATCCAGTTGAATTAAAGGATAATTATGGTCAACAAGAGGATCTTATGGTTTTGCAATTTGCTAATTTTTGCGAGAAAATAGATGCAAAAGTTCCAACAAATTGGCAGATGGAGAAGGCATATATTGTGTTTATTCCAGAGCATAAGCAGATGCTCTGATAGCATTTCTGAAGCTGTGCAAAAATTCTGGTAGGCTAACAGAAATAAGTTTTCAAAAACAGGGTTCTTGAGTTACATGCTAAAACTATATCCCACATGATATACAATTTTTCTAGTGTATCAGGGCTCCTATAATAAATATCCGTGTTGATGAGACCCGTAATCCTTACAGTTAGGTTATTTTTTTGTAACTTCTTAGCATAATGGAAAAATAATTTTGGTCACAATTCCATCTCCGAGTTTGTTAGGATCACTTTTTTAGCCCGCTGTGAGGAAAGATATAGACTATCGAAGCTGAAGAAACTATTTATTATGCATGAGCTCGTAATTAAAAAAACTAGAAAATGTGATTTCAAGCAAAATTTCATTTTGAATGTGCTGACGTATTTCAATCAAATTTAACGAGAAATTTTATGTGTAAATGCTTGAATATAATATTTTGCTCTAGCTTACAGTTTTTTTCAAAATTTGCAGCATCCACACTTCATCGTTGATGTTTATGTAAGGCCTATTTTACAGCTGAGAAAATTAGAACCAATTGAGAGGTTTTTCGTTTTTTTTTTTGACTTCCTCCCACTTTTGTCTGCGTAACCAAGGGAGCAGCGTGTCGAGAGATTTTTGGATAATTGTTAGCAATGTTTAAATGCCTGAGGGTGCTGAGGCTCTTTTTTTTCGTGTTCTACAGTCTTTACATGAAGATGTGGCCAGGAAGAGTATAATGTAATGCTGACGTCAATCCAAATAGTATAAGCAAACTTCAATATCTGAGTGGCAAAATATAATACGAAGTACACAGAAAAAAGTGCTCAAAAGAGCAGGGTTTGAATTTTTCCCGAGTGACAGGAAACTTTTCCTGGAAAAAAAATAAGAATTACTCAACTGACCCTTTTTCCATTCCTTCTATATAAACATAAACAGATACACACAAATATAAAACACGACACATAACCACCGAGTCAGCCTTGACATTAATTTCTTCGTAGAAGGTCTCAATGAAGTTCAATTTTCGGATAAAAACATCCCCTGTGGTAGCCTTATAAAAAAATCTAAGAACTCGAATACTGTTGCGAATTTTTAAGAGACAAATGGAGCGTTCTTAAGAGTACTTTGTTCCTAAGTTACACAACAATTTTACCAGGAAAACCTGGAAATACATGAAGGAAGTCAAAGACCATAAATATTATTGCCCATTTCTACGATGTAGAATAAAAAATCAAAAAACTTTATGAACAACTCACTCATTTATCAGCGTCTGCGCAGTGATTTCCGCATAAGTGTCGGTAAGGTTCGAAGCCTCAAGTACTTCAGTAAGAATGACCTTATCGGCCATATTAGTTCAGCAGTTTCCACACTAATACGCTTTCCATTCGAAGACGACGAGGGCGTATGGGGAGGATTATGAAGGGATGAAAAATAGTGCAAAAAGTTGGAGGAAGCGGGATGAGATGAATGGTTATTCGCTCTCGGCAGCCTTCAGTCTCTCCTTATTGATCCCGTCGGTTGTTCTGAAAAGGGGCCACGCCTCTGCTGGGGCTCATTCCACTGCTCACACGCACATTATTGCGTCAGAAATGTGCAAACATTGGACGAAATAGAATAAAGAGCAGTGAGGCGAGAAAACACAAGAAATGGGAAAGAAAAGTGGGAAGGCGCTGGAGTGAGGAAATTTGATCCACACCGTTGCTCAGAAAGTCAAGGAAGTATCAGCTTTTCCAGGGAGCGGTGCCAAGCGATTCCAAGAAATAAATAAAATTGCTCATTATTTGGGTTATCCCAAAAATCTTGTCGCTTTTTCCAAACGACTATAAAACCAAGCACAATAAAGACCCAATGTGCTTCAACATGCATTCGATGCAGCTTTTCCTCCTCTTTCGTGCGATTCAATTCAGAACCATAATCTTCCATGAGCTTTCTGACAATTACCAAAATTCTTCAACCGTCTTTTTCAAAACCCCTCTTTATTGGAAAATCGACGCACAGTCGCCCGATTCATGTGACATCACCGTAGCGTGGCCATATCTCGCTTCAGAGTGGATGAATTCTCAATCCAAGGGCACCGTTCGACTCAGCTCGGAGCGGCGCACCTTCATATATATATATAAAAGCGCCTGTTTGGACACAGTTAGGAGGGCAGATTCCACGAATCGTTTCAGATTTTGCTTAGGATAAGTTACTCAGCGTGCTTATTCACTACACTCACTGGGCAACACACCGTAAGCAAAATACTGAAACGATTCGTGGAATCTGGCCTCCTACCGAGTCCAAGCGGGATCTATATATCAGAAGATGCACCGCGCCGAGCTGAGTCTAATGGTGCCCCTAGATTGAGAACTCGTCCACTCTGAAGCGAGATATGGCCACGCCACGGTGATGTCACATGAATCGGGCGACTGCGCGTCGTTATTTTTTTTTGCAGAAAATACGAGCGGCATTGCATTTGCTCAAACTTCGTCTAGTTTTGGAAAGCACTGAGTATGCTTCAAATAGAGTAAATCTCGGACTATACGGGCGTACTTTTAGATTCTCCTGATCAGCTCTGTTTGGTTTTAGAAAGTTTTTTTTGGAGACCTTGATTACTGGTAAAGCCACGGAACACACAACTGCAGCAAAAACATAAAAGTTTCTAGAAATTTTGCGAATTGGAACTTGATTATTGCCGAACATTATTGTGCAACATAATCAAGTCTGATTTGCTCTACGCTTTAGGCTAAGGGTATAACGCGACTTCCGTCGCCACGCGGTCTGGCAATTTGCCAGATACCTTCGAGTTCAATACTGACAGACCCCAAATGCACAGCATATTTAGTTTTGGTAAGTTGATAAAATGCCCTATGTTTCGTACATTTAGAAACCTCTTACGATGAGTTATGCATGCACAATTGGAGTATTGCCAGATCGCGGCGCGACTGAAATCGCGTGAGGTATGCCTTTAGCCTTAAGGGCCGGGCATACTTCACGCGATTTCAGTCGCGACGCGATTTGGCGATATTCCAACTGTCCATAACTCACTGTAAGCACATTTCAAAAGTACAGAAGACAGGGCATTTTGTCAATCCCTGTAAGTTATACACACTATGCATGTGCACTTTGCTAGTGTTGGATCTGAAGACTTCTGGCGAATTGCCAAATCGCGTCGCGACTGAAATCGCGTGAAGTATGCCCGGCCCTTTATGGAATTTTCAGTACTATGCGCCAAATGTGATCAAAAGCCGCAGTTTTACCCAGATAGATAATTATTACAGACTTAATAAAGTAACCTATGTAGCCTGGAATGAGTGTGCTATGCTTAGAAACGATTTTTCGAAATTCTGAGGAAATTTGGCGTTGTCAGTGAGCTGTTTAACATGTCATGGCGATAACATCGCCAAGACAGCAATCAGAGAGAAAATATAGCTATACGAAAGAGGATAGAAATGAATCAAACGATGCCCAAACCGTCTATCGATCGGTGTTCGGTGAATTTCAGTGACCGTTGAAATGAACCGACAAAACTGCAAAACAAAAACCTGCAGAAAAAACCAGTTTTTACACCAGCATAACTGGAGCATGCATGTTTTCCGCACATTTTCCTTCGATTTTCACGACTTTTTGCATAAAAAAACTTTCTTTGCTGATTTTTGAAGGCCATTCCTTCCTTGCCAACAGCACTCCAAGAGATCCCTTCCTTAGTACATTCATGATCAGGCAGTTTTTTGATCCCTGCCTTTTGAAAAAGAGTGAATTTTTTATTAACACAGGTGCGATCCCAAGTAGTGGTCTTGACAAGTTCCAGGAGATGTCGCAGTCAGGACTATTTGTGACCTACTAGTAAATTTATGAGGTGTCGCTTAATAATACATTAAGTTGAAAAAATAAGTTCGTTGTTTCACGCAAATCCCCGTAAAAAAGTTTTGCGTTTTTTTATCCATGATTTATAGGGGAATTAGTTCAGAGCTTCTAGTATTACATATCGACTACTTAGAATCTTCTGCTATCAGTAAAGGAAATTTACGCCCTAACGTGCCCAAATTTCCAAAGCCTCAATTATTTGACTAAGCTTCGTTTTCATGCTATGATGGATGCAGAGGTAAATAATTATTCAAATGCAGGCAGGTTTTCTCTATATAGCGAGTATAATAATAATTGTTATCTTCAATTTTCTTCTTTAAAAAACCTAATTTTCCCACATTTGCTCACAGCCGGAAAATTGGGGTATTTCTTCTCTTTGCACCTTTTCTTCATAAGGAAATGGATTCCATGAGACAGAATTTGACTTCCAATTCTCACTGAAGTGCTCTTTTTGAGAGAACCAAATATGGGGCAGAAATTTTTTTTGTAGCATTTACAGCAGCGGCAAACTTATTATGCAAACTAATAATACTCGTAACGGGTGTAAGGCTTAGGCCCCGGTCAGACTTCACGCGACTTAATCGTCGCGATCTAATCGCCAAGATTTCCATTCATTTTCATTTCACATTCAAAAATTTCGGTCTGGAAAAGTATCACAACCGAATGCAAGTTGATCGGCATGGAATGATTCTGTAACAGTTGTCTCGTCGCGACTCAGTCGCGACGATCAAATCGCGTGAAGTCTGCCCGGGGCCTTATGGGCGTTCAGAAAGTGTTGATGATAAAAATCACAACACTGTTTGTAAAGACCACAATCAACTAATTTTTAGCGCCATGGTAGCTTACGGTATATATGCTGCGTAGAATGGAGGCGCAATATCTTTGGGCGCAGGATTTACAAAGGTGAAATACGCGCGCGCCTCGTTCGCGCTCGAAGCTTCTGCGCCTTCGTCCTCAAGTAATCTTTAGGTGTGGGGCCAGGTTTTCAGGTCTTGCTTTGCGGTTGCTCCACATGTTGATTGAAAAAAACTGATCCCCTTGATTCACAATTGCGTGAATGTGGGATTGCATTAGTCTAACTCAGATTTTGCAACCAAGCAATGGATGAAGAGCTGGCGGCAGTTTCCGAAACCACCATACTCGTAATCAGTATGTCAACAATCCTTGTAGATTTTAGATCTGCAAGAACAAGAAAATCACAAAGTTGTTGAACATCCTAACGGCAAGCATCAAGTGTGTAGACGTCTCTTTCTTGTTTGCAATCTTGATTCTTTTTCAAGCTTCCTTCGCAATGCGCATGAAATAGAGTGCCCCATCTCAACTATCGTGCGCCACGGCTAAAGGTGTTGCTCACCCGTCATGACGAGCATGTGCTGGTCGAAATCATTTCTTCATCTCATTTCTCTTTACTCTATCATTCTAAAATCATGTCAGAAACAAAAATCTTCAAATTGCTATCAAAGCTGCGGCTTTTGATCTCTTCTGTAGCTTTTTTCCCCAAAATTCTGTCGTGAACAAGATTTTTCTGCGAGCTTTTTTATCTGCTCTTGCGATACCATTTCCATTCATTGCTCTCTATGCATGGTATTCAACACTCATGAATGTTGTCGCCCTCCACGAAAGTGCATGAAATTTTCATAAACGAAATTGATGGCAGCTGTTTTTTTCCATAATCTCGTGACTAATCCCAGTTCTATTGAGTTACCATAGTTCAACAGCCGGTTATTGATCGTCGCCGCATATTACAGACTTTTTATGACTTTATGACATTTACGTCAGCACTGTCTTCTTTTGGGTGTTTTTACATTCATTAGAGAATTCCATTTTATCCAGTTATCTGCCTGCTAAAGTTTTTTCGCCTTTGTTTTCTTTCGTAATTGCGTTTTGATGGAATAACTTGATTATCTACTGCTGGATTTTTTGCTTTACTTACACAGGCACAGTAGTCTGAATGGATTTTGCTTTTTCCGCTTATTCTCACGTTCTTCAACTTTGTCTTATGATATACCTGCCTTCGAGAACTTCATAACCTATCCAGGTAACAAAATGTCGAGCTCAACGATGGAAGCCACGCAGCAGAAGGTAAAAAGTGCCGTTGACGCGATGATCGATGAAATGGATCGTAATTATCTACGTGATATGCAGAAGCAGATGTTTCTTTGCTCGGCAAAGTCGGTAACTAGTAATTTTTTAGCTTTTCGTTCCAGTTGGATTTTAACTTTGATTGTCCGATTTCAGATGTTGCGAACATAAGACAAGCAGTCGTGAAGCGGTAGAAAACTGCGTGGAACAGTGTAATAGTGGTATGAAAACCGCTCAGAAAACACTAGAAAGAGAGCTCGGCGGCCTTCAGGTAGTTTTTTACTGTTCTTGATTACCCTTGAGAATTTTTTTCTCCATCGATTTATGTAGGTTTTTTTATATCTTAGGCAAACGGTTTTTTATCGCTACTTCATGCACCGAAGTAGAGGCAGTGAGAAAGAATTTGAGATTTGACAACACGTATCGCGAAATTTTTAGGTAATTAACTAGGTGTTGGAGAACATAGCCGTGTATTATTCACTTACAGAAACAAGACATGAAATTTCTTCTGCACTCAAAAATTTGGAATCGTTTTCTCTTTCCAATTGCCTGAGTTTTACTTTGCCTGCGCTCTGATTGTCAATCTTGAATATAACCTTGCCCTTGTCCATCAGAGGTGCCATCCTACTACACACCTAGATCTTCATCAAGAGTTGCCGAACATGGGCTATGACATTTTCCAGTGAAAAAAGAAATTTTCACATTCGTACATCGGGAGCAAAGCATCTAGAAACTACTTTCTTCTCAATCTTTAGAGTGATAATCCATTTTTCGCTTCTCAATGCGTAGTAGATGCATTCAAACAGTTATAAAAGACTATGAAGAGCATCGAAAGTGCGCACATCTTTACAGGCACAAAAATCACGAGGTTGAATTACAGTATGAAAAAGTCTAGGGGAAAATGTCTAAGCCCCAGGGTCAGCCATACCTTATCATTACTAAATTCAAATTAATCAATCAAGATCAACATAAATTGTTCTAGTATCTCTTTGCATTTTTTGTTTTGAGAAAAATTTCACTTTCTCTATTAAATGGAATTTTGTCTCAGCTAGTATCGCTGCATACGTAACTCCGATAATCATTCAGTTAATTTTCTTCGGTTTATTTAGGATCAACTCTCACGTTGTGCTATGACATGCTATGACAAATTGGTACAAAAATATGGTCCAGATGCTAGTAAATACACAGAAACACAGGTAAAACCTCTAATTTGTCCTCAGTGCTTTCAAAGTTAATCGTTTCAGATGTTGCAATTTAATGATAGCCTCGACAAATGTGTAGCTGTATGCGCAGATGATCACATAAAGCTAATTCCGGAAATTAAGAAACGTTTCGCAAAATCTCTAGGCTCATAATTTTTGAGAACATCACTGCCTAACCGTTTTTGTTTGTGCATATCTCGTTTCTACCTCGACTGCAAGGAGGTGTAGTTTAGTGTTGACATGTTGTATGATTTTGACATAGAGAATACTAATAATAGTTTTTTTATTAGTACTAGAATCTACTGTTTTGTTGATGTTTGACAGTCTTTCTATAAACATTTGCTCATCTTGCTTTGATTCTGGTCAGCAGTTTCGCACTGTTTTGTACTTTGCATTGATTGCTCCGTAGGCTTCGCACCCTCTCGTGACTATTGCTTCATTCAGGTATTTTTTAGCAATGCGACAATGATCGTCTTCCAATTGCTGCTACTATTGTCCTTGGTGGACAGTATTTGGTGCCTAGGTAGTGAGTTTACTTTTGAAAGATTATTATGGTTCGGTATTGATGAATCTTCTTGAAGTCAGTTTTTTTTCTAGGTTCTATTTAGTTTTAGATGTATAGACGTCACCTTATACCATCTCACTTCCCTTTTTTAGCCAAAAAGGTTCCGCTGCAGTTTGGGCGAGTATGTGCGTTTGGAGATTTTGATGGAGATCGATATACTGATATACTAGTTCAACGAGGTGCCAACTTGACAGTTCTACTACAGGACAATGAAATGCTCAATGTGGTGAACTTTGTAAGTAATGTTTGCTTTTCTCTTCTTGTCATTTTCCAGTGATATCTGGAGAATTCTCAAACTAAGACATTTATGTTGAAAATTGCAACCAATTGTCGTTATTTTTGGCTCGATCAGAATATAAATCAGTGAAATTCTAAATAGGATGAAGGTAATATGGTTATCTATGAATTTTGTCTCAGTTTTTGGGGTATACGGAGGCCCCACTCTGTAATCTGAAACCACTCTGTACCAATGTATTCTATCTACATCGATTAAATTATTATTTTTTAGCTTGAAGAAGGTGTTTTCAAAAATTCCACCACATTCCGAGTTGGAGACGGCACTGTCGAATGCTCGCTTGGGGACTTCAACGGTGATACGAAACTGGATGTACTTGTAAGTCAAGTTAAAGGAGTTTCTCTTTTTCTCACCTTTTTATTTCTATGTTTCTGTTTATGGAGCTAGTACAGTGGGCACCATCAGTGTCTATACACAGTTCTTACATATTTCTGCGTATACTAAAACATTGTGCGTCTTGTGTGTTAAGATTGAAAGCATTTATCTTGTTGCAGGTATCAATGAAAAAGCGTAATGAGTACCACCACTCGGTCTGGATCTCCACTCCGCTTCGCGATTCTTTTGTGGAGCATAAACTCGAAGTACTTTCCTCGCAGGCAATGGTAAATTTTCATCCATCATGATGGGGAAGGGGGGGGGGGAGGGAGTGATGAATTTACCTGGAAACTTCTTTGCTTTTAGGCTATTGATGTTGACGGGAATGGCTGGCATGATGTGTTAGGGTTTTACCCGAATGGATCGATGTACTGCATGACATTCAGCCGCGATGGAAGTCCTGCATTTGACTGCAATTATCTGTTCTTGTAAGAATAATCTATAGTTATCTTCATGCGGTAGCGTCTAGGGCATATATCTATGATTTTCAGGGGTTTCGTGCGAATAGATCCTTATCCAGGAGTGCCACATCTATTCGCTGACTTCACAGGTAGTAAGTACAATGCGTGATTGTTGAAAAGAGCATATATCTTTGTTAAAGGGGATCATCTGTCCGAGATCGTGTTTATGGATACCGCGACAACCAGTAGCGGGAAGCTTTTGTCACCGAGAATGTGGGGTCGATTCAAGAATGGTTGGCGTGAAACACCAACGCTTATAAGTCAAATTCCTGGAGAACACCAGGTACAGTATTATCAGACCGCGCAAATATTCGTTTTTATTGACTTTGCGCATTTTTAAACATCGCATTTTTCTGAACATTCACGTGAGTCCTGTGTCTTTAGTATGTTGGTGCTCCACTTGCGGCTGATTTTGACGCTGACGGAATAATTGAGCTTCTAGTGCCGATTTGTAGAAAGGCTGACTGCAAACAGGTAATTATCAAGCTAACGTGTTTTCATATTTCCCGAAGTCTTCTGTTATCCCAGGTGACCGAATTCGCCAACTGGCAATATACTCGCGGCTGGTCGACGAATGCTTTTGATCTTCAGGTAGTCTTTCGTTTGTTTTGTTTCTACACGCTTTTATAGCAGTAGACAAAAGCCATGTATTTTTCTCATTGTAGAAGATTCTGATCTATTTTAGAACTTCAACATTTTATCTGATGAAGATTCGTTGATGCTCTTCCGAGTAGGAGACTTTTCGCTTGATGGATATCCCGATCTTCTTGCTGTTCTTGTGGAGAAGCAAAGCTTGGGGCAGATAAAGGCAAGATCAGCTTCACTTCCTTATTTCTCGGCTAGAGGTTTTCGGTGTGGTGTAATGATTTTCGCCCTCAGTTTCTTATTGTTAGGTTATCGACAACGTTCCTTGTACAAATTGCGATAAGAATGGAACTAGGTTTGTTGAACATGAAGGACTCATATCTTTAGCGCTCTGGCCTCTCAATTATTTTTACTTATAGGAGGTTCGAAATCAACAAGAGCGTCTTCATTCAACCAAAGGAGGTAGCGCTAGGAGAGATCAAGATGGCGTCGTTCTTCGATCTGAAGGTAAAGTGCTGGCGTTTTCTTTTCTGATTGAACTTGCTTTTTAAGATGTTACTCACCGCCTTGAACGTTTTCTTGTAAAGACAGATTTTACCGTTTTAGGAGGATGGAAGCCTGGACATTCTTATCGAATACAAGCCGTTTGAAGGGGACACTAAGTTTAGGTACTTAAATTTATTTAACTATGTTATCTTCCTCTCATCTCGATGTATTTCTGTTTCAGCTTTATTTATTGTGATGACAAAGGTGATGTTACTTTCCTCAAAGTGCAAGTCTTCACAAATGTTTGCGGCAAGCATTGTGACCCGTCTTCAAAGGAACTGGGTGAGTCAAACATGGTTTCGAATTCGTTCTTAGCTTTTAGTAGGCTTTTAGTTGGTGCTGTCTTAATAAGTGCAGGTGTTATCCACATGAGTTTGTTTTTTAGTGTTTTGTTTTTCGCTTGCACTCACATCTGTCTCACTTGTTTCGATAAAGAGTACCCTAATTTCACGCGTATAAGGCGCGGGGAATTTTTCCCAAAATCGACCAGCCCAGACAAGCCAAAGGACTTTACAACCAAAGGACCCTATAACATGCTGTATATTGCTTGAGAGTATCGTGCGATGTAAGGATTTCTTCCCGGAATACAGTGAAGCGGCTGAGCGGCTCGCTTGAAAATTCGAAAAAGTGCGCCTTATACGCGTGAAATTAGGGTAATTAATTGCTGCCGTTTATAAATTTCAAATTGTCATTTACTCAGTTTATTTTGACTTCATGGACAAGTTTGTTTTGAATTTTATGGAGAATTCGCGGATATGCTAAAGATGAGTTTTCAGGGTCCGGTGTTAGTTGGAGCGGTGCATGCGCTAGCTTCAGTATGTCCGACGGCTGGGGTGGCTCTTTGAAAGGCGCTTCATGCCAACTTCCCGCCTCGACTCATCGAGCCCTGGCTGCGCCTTATGTGTTGTTTGGACTGGGCCGAAGTCCCAACTTTGTTGATGAGGTTGGTTCAGTTTATTTTTTTTACAATAATTAGTAAATCCTATTTTCTAGTTGACTATCGGTGCGCCACGTTATTCTGATGGCTTAGCAGTCCGTCAGCACACGCTGAAACAGATCGTACCAAATTCGAGGATTGTTGTCATTCCGCCGGAAGAAGGCACGCATTGGTTGACGCGGTTGTATGTAACTCCATCGCAGCTGATTTTGCAGGTAGGTGTTTCTGACATTTTGTGCATCACTCCCCATTTTCTTCCCTTTTCTCGTTCTTGAAACATTGGGTTCCAGAGCTTGGCTGTTATTGCCTTGGTATGTGCTATGCTGTTAATGGTTGTTGCCTTCCTTCACTACCGGGAAAAGAAAGAAGATCGAGTGGAACGTCAGCAACAATCCCATCGTTTCCATTTTGATGCCATGTAAATGGAGGAAGTGATAGCGCCCTTTGGTGCTTTTTTGCTAGAAGTCATAACCAGTAAGCCGCGCTCTTGCTCAGTGCCCCCCCCCCCCCTCCCTTGTCGAAGGTGACATTTTTTGTTTGTACATGCGAACTAGCTTAAAATATATTGGCACTACACCTGGCCCTGTCCTTCTGACTGTCTGGTCGTACTTGCATATAGAATATCTGCTAATGGATGCACACATGGTTGCCTCATCTTCTATGTGATTTCGAATATCGATAACTTGTTTTATTTTTCATTAGCTCTGTCAAGTGCCTTCGGGTTTGTTTTGTTCCCAAGCTTTCTGACTTTTTGTATTTTCTTGATTTGAGTTGACCGATGGTGAGCTTTTTCTTTTATCATTCATTCTCGCTTATTACTGTGATATGCTTATGTATACTACGTCATCATATAACATCCATTTAGAGCATAAATATTGTACATAATTTTGAAGGTAACATGTGAAGCGTTTTTGTGCCTACAGTAAGTTTCAACTCAGTTTAGGCGGAAATTGGATTGGCGGGCGTCCGCTTCGCATCGGTTTCCGCAGTCTGCGTCTCTTCATTCTAATCTATCTCGTTGTGCCAGTGGTGGTGCGCACGCGCGGCTCCACTTTGAATGTTTCGCCTACTCCGGGTCGAAAAAGACTGTACATATGGGGTGGTTCGAACATGAAAAAGAATGTTCAACAAGCTTGGAGTTCATGGTTATTGCGAATGAGTCATTTTCAACAAATTTGAATATCTAGCAGCCCGGGTCATTCCCAAAAGATTTGATTATCTAGCGGTCATGTGCGTAAAAGGTCTGTTCTATGCAACTCGACTGATTTGATAACTTTCTGAATTGGTTTTAGGCATAAAGTACCTTTATGATTTTGTATTTCCCAAGAAAAGCGACTTACTTCACAAAGCTGGGATAGAGTTGCGACCGGCTGATCAGACTGAAGAAGTGAACAAGAAGACTAGAAAAACCGTCCTTTACCAAGATCATAACTTTGAATAGAATTTGAGTAGTCAAATAAAGAATGTCTTTTTGTCTGCATTGTACCAATCATTGAGAAAATAATTGGGTTCGACTTGGACTCTTGTCCATTTTGCATGGCGGAAAGGAATAGCTTCCTATAAGAAAAGACATGAAGCATATATAAAGGTATGTTATGGGAAACGATCAACTGCTACAAATTAAGGATGACAGTCACTTGTTATGGCGCGCCGGTTCCAAAGTTTCATCGCATTTCTATACTGCTACTTGTATCCTTATAATAAACTTTCATCTACCAGCGTCGGAGAATCATGACAGCTTCCGCAGCGCTACGCCCTCTGATAGCAGCGGATGGTCCCGCGACCAGGGAGCCTCTCATGAGTAAGAAAACTGGCTACGCCCTGAACAGATGAGACATGGCCACAACCCTTCACCCTTTGAATGAATATATCCCAAAAAGCCCCGAATCTTCCATGCGCCGCTGGCAGCCGTCACCGGTAACCTATGGCCGTTCTCGTACAATGCGGGGGCCGATTATCAAGTCAGTGCTTTTATCCTTCCAAATTACTCTGGCACCAATCTACCGGAGGGTAGAGGGCTCGGTTGGTCCAGGGGCGCTACCGAATCTTGTTCGACCAGGTCATATCGACGCCTCATTCCACTACGCCTCTCGTCCCCTGTAGTCATAGAAAGCTGTCGTGTATTCAGCAGCGCCCTGATCAACTCGGAAGCATGAGCTTAAAGGCAGCGTCCAGGCAAATCTGGACATACGGGGTTCTCATTTGGAAAGTAATTTTAGCGCCGGGTCCTAACTAAGACACTGCCCAAGCGGCAGCTCAAATGGTGAACTCACAGTTGGGATGTTCGCCTCCAGACTGGACCCCGCGATCGTATTCGCATGGATTCATGGCACACGTCGTGGTCCTCAAGTGAAACTGATGTGTCGCGCCATGAATCCATGCGAGTATAATCCCGGGGTCGAGTTTCGAGGCGAATATCTCGACTGTGAACTCACCATCTGGGCTGCCGCTCGGGCAGTGTTTTAGTTAAGGCTCCAAGATTACCCTCCAAGTGACCCGTAAGCCCAGATTTGCTTGGACGCTGCCTTTAAAGCGGATCCATGGATCCGGACTGCAGAAGCATCCGTGATGGCGTCTACATTCACCGGGGTGTCCCCCAAGTTCTTTGTTGAACAAGTTAGGCGGAGCAGGACGTGTTTGGACGAGTTAGTGCGGTCGTGTCGTCTATTCCGATTAGGGCAGGTCAGTCGCTGGCACTTCGTTAGGCATCGTCATCAGAAACATCTCGTATTCAAAAGCAAAATGGCGGACGAATTGGAGCCTTCGGTGCGGAACATCATCGACCAAAAATCACTAAAATGGATCTTTGTTGGCGGCAAAGGAGGTGTCGGTAAAACAACGTGCAGGTAAGTGTGATTCATCACAAAAGTGCCTGATAAAATGATTTTTTTCAGTTGCTCACTTGCCGTTCAATTAGCTGCTAAACGAAAAAGCGTGTTGTTGATATCGACTGATCCTGCTCACAACATATCAGATGCTTTCAACCAGAAATTTACAAAGACACCTCAGAAAGTTGCGGGATTTGACAACCTTTCTGCAATGGTAAGTCACGTTACTTCAGCTTCATCTAATCACAAATCACAATCGCAAATATTGCAGGAAATCGATTCAAATCCGACTGAAGGATCTGCTTTACCCGGACTGGATCAGTTAGCGGACGCTAACGGTTTGTTTCGCTTATTTTGAGTTTGTATCCAACAAAATCTTGGTGTTCAGGTAGCATAGCGTCTATGGGACGAGAACTGCTCAACAATATGGTTGGGGGTATGCCTGGCATCGATGAGGCCATGAGTTTTGCTGAAATGTTGAAGTAAGAAAACATATTTTTGTGCTGGTCATTTTTCTCTATAACCTTCTGTTTCATCTCTTAACTACGGTCCTACAGTACTAGCGGATTTTTTCTTTCATTTATGACTATGAATGTAAAGCTCACAACCCTTTTCCAGGCTCATCAACTCGCTCGACTTTGATGTCGTGGTGTTCGACACTGCTCCAACTGGACATACATTGCGATTGTTGCAGTTCCCAGTTATACTGGAAAAAGCTTTTACAAAAATCCTCTCACTCCAGTCATCCTTTGCTCCTATGATTGGACAGGTATCTTGAACCATTCTTCGTTCATTTGTCTTTTTTGTTCCCATCTAGTTCTAATTTTTAAAATTCATTTAAACCAGGGAAGGAACAAATTTGGGTTGGCGATTGAAGACGAGATGTGTATCGCTAGGCGTGTCTTTAAATGCTGATTCGAGATCTTTCTTTTTTTGCAGAATAACTCTCCGAACGAAGTCACAGGCGTTTGAAAGTTCAAATTTCTTGAACCTTAAGTGGCATAAAATTAGCGACAAGGTCTACAAAAGCACTTGAAAGTGGTTAATCTTTTGTATAAAATATATTGAATGCAAGAGAGGTGTACAGCCAGTGGACTTCGCATAGGGCTTTGTGAAGCTTTTCGCAATTTTATGCCTTTTGAAGGTTGATAAATCTGAACTTCCAAATAACTTTTTTTGAGGAGTCATTCCCCTCCCCTCCCCAAAAAAATAGAAATGAAATCAGCGTTCAAAGACGTGTCTAGTGTGCACACTTCGTATTCAGTGACCAAAAGTTGGTATCCTTCCCTGCTAAGGCGACTTATGGCATTTTCACTTTGCATGCATACCACCTTCTTTGAAACCATAAATTTTGCTTTGTAATGTGATATTGTTCTTACGCAAAAGTCCTTGACAATCTTTCCTTTTCATCGATGTGAAGGAAGCGCCTACTTGGATCCTGTATTGCTCTAGTTAGTCTGGTTAGCGGTGGAGTAGCACTGTTAAGTCATCTAGTATGACCTTTGTAATCGTCGCTTGTCATAGAAAAGGACATATAGAATCTCCAAAAAGTTGGATTAAATTAACGTTTCAAATTTTAAACTATAATCACTTGTTCGCAGCGTGCTTCAACCGAAATCCTTTCTTCAGCTTTCTGGTATGCTTGGTATGGGAGAGGTGTCTCTCGATGATACAGTCCGAAAGCTCCACGAAACATTGGATCAGGTCAAGCGAATGAATGCAGAATTCAAAAACCCGGTATGTATGTTATGATGCCTTTCCCGGTATGTTTAGACCCAATCTGACATTCAGGATCTTACCACATTCATATGCGTATGTATCGCCGAGTTTTTGTCATTGTATGAGACCGAACGGTTGATTCAGGAGCTTACAAAGCAGGTATGTCTCCTATTTGAACATTTTTTTTTATTTCGACCATTCCTTTAGGGGATTGATACTCACAACATTATTGTGAACCAGCTGCTATTCCCCGATACGAGCGAAGGATGCATTAAGTGCAAGAAATGTCAGGCTCGATCAAAAATACAGACGAAATATTTGGATCAGGTTTGTCTTTTCTCTGTTTTTATTGGAAAATCGATTTATTAATGGTCGTGTACGCTTATTTAGGGTTTCACATTGCATCAGCCTTTTTTTTCTTTCTGTTATCATTTCTTTTGCACGTGAATAGATGACAGCGTTATGCAGTATGATGTGATAGTTTTGGGTTTTTATAATTTTTCATCTTGTTTGATAGCAAATTTCCGATGCAGCTTTGGAATGTCGACATAGCAACAGCACAAATCACCGGTCTCTCAATTAGTTAATGCATGTACATCGTTTTACGTTTTAAAGCTGTACTTTCATGTCTCTTACCTTTTTGTGGAAACAGCTGCCAGTTTTGATTGTGAGGATGTTACACTTTTAGAAGCAGCTAGGTGGTAACTTGCATAGTTGTAATCAATTTTTGAGGTCGTTGCTACTCAGTGGGGTAGTTTTCAGTTATTAACTGAAGATGATCTGTTTTGCTCAATATAATAGCGTGGCTGGATGATTACTAGAACCTCACTGATATGTGCTATGGAGCAATTTTGAGCATTGAGGGACCCATTGTTCTGCAATTTGCTAATCTTTACTATCATCCAGCAAAAATTCGCTTGAAGAGAAATAACGAAAATCCTTGAAAATAGAGTTTTCAGTAGTGTGTTGAGCTGATTTAATCTACTTCTTTTTTGCTGCGCATTCTTTCATGATGTTTCAGATTGCTGATCTATATGAGGACTTCCATATCATCAAACTGCCGTTGTTGGACGAAGAAGTCCGTGGTCCCGAGCAGATACGTGCTTTCAGTCGAAATCTGATGGTACCGTACACTGGAGCTTAGCTAAGGTCTAGTCAGGTTCTTTTGTCTACGTATGGAGAGGTCCCATGATTTTCTGGCTTTCTCGTCTTGTTCCTATTGTCTGTTCATACTGAACTCGGGAAAACTTCGACTTTTTGGGTTTGCTTGTGAGCTCTGTCAAACCTTTTTCTCTTTTTCATGCGGCTGGGCATTGAGACTATTTATATAAAAAAGAGTATTGAATTGTATGCTTGTAGGATATAACTTATTTCTACAGTGATTGTGAAAAGGATATCATTCTATCAAATTTCCCATCTGCAATGTTCTTTCTCAAAAGTCGTCTTTATAAATATGTCAGAAGTGTTTTATTGACAGTAAAAATCATGAATAAGCATATCTCATAAGATGATGAGCAATGCAAAACAAAACAAGTACAAAAATCTGAATAAAGCTCTAACAACGCGAAAAAGAAGTGAGAAATGCGATGAAGTTCAGATTATCACAAAAAACGCAAATCTGAATAATACCCGGGTAATACGTAACGAGATTAATGTGTGGTACATGTCCTATCAGTTAGTTTTTGTGAACGATCTTGGAAGGCAGAAGTGCTTCACGGATATGTACTATTTGCTGGACGCCTTGTTTTCCTCCTGTCAATTTTGACGAAGTTTCTCTTGTAGAGAAATGTATGGGAACGAGAAGATCGATCCACTCTTATCAGGGAAATAACGAACAGCGGCCGTAAAGCTGAAAAAATATAAATCGGAGTTGTTTACAATTGTCAAAAGCTCTTTTATGCACGTTTACGGTATATTTTGAGCTCTGCAAACTTTTCGGGAACGGAACTATGCTATTTCTAAATGGGAAGTTTGTCTTACTTGTGAGTTGGGCTTCTTTTTTCAATGTCGATCATGGAAAACATCACGAAAATGGTGTATCCTGCCATTCCAGCTAGTAGGTGGAATGCTGCATGTAGATAAGGAGTGCCTGAAAGAATCTAGTAGGTCAGCTGTAAATCATCTTTTTCCATATGAGACGGGCTCAGAAGTTTTCGAAAAATTCCGGGAACTCAAGTTGTCGTAACCGCGCACGCAGCCGCGCCGCGTGCCCAGTTGGTGCAGTCGACGCACATCACATAAGTCACGCGGAGTATATCACAGGCTCCGTATCTTTTATTTTGTGGAAAATGCGCAGCTTTTGCACTGCATGACCTGCACTTTGATTTTTAGAGTAAATACTCACCTAGCCACAGCCAAACATCGCAAAGTAGTCGATCAGCGAACCAGAAAACGAATGAAGTGAACCAGAGGAATAGAACCCTTCGTGGAAAGTTCTCGATATCCGGAATGCCAGAACTAAATATAATCAATGTTTCTAGTTCTTTGTGAGAGAAAAGAATAGACTAACTGTCTGCCTTCGAAATTAATCACTAATGCAGCAGGCACAGAAAATAACATCAAAGCGACAGCATTTAAAGTTGGTTCCAAGAAGCACAATCCGGAGAATATTGCTGTTAGAATGACTACGATGCGACGGAATGTTTTCCTGAAGGCATGAAATAATTCAAAAAATATACTATCGTCGAGTTCCTCGTAAAATTGAGCAGTAGAAACGAAATCTTTTTTTTAGTTCAAACTCACAATCGCTGGCTAAATTTCCTCGGAAACCATTGCATAACCGGAATATAAACAACAACAAACATGGTAATGATCCATACTAAGGAGAGCTCATCGACTAGTTGACCTGAAGAAGCAAAATTTCAATAGTTGCAGAAACTTCTTGAGAAACACTCAATGGATCTATACACAGAAGAACTCAATGTCCTTATTTTGTTTAGGAAATATGCAAAATAATCAAGAGGATTAAGTGGGCATCCACTTCGCTATTGGTCAATTCACTATTCGACCAATAGCGAAGTGGACCAAGTGGATCAAGTATGGCGCGTGCCCTAGTCGGCGTCAGCTTAATTCCATCGTCATCTCTATATTAGATTTTTACATCTGGAAAGCTTCAATCTAATGTGATTTGTCGGGAAATTACTTTTTTTAACTTTTTTAGCTGTATTTTTTTGGGACTTTATTTCCATGTGCTTGTGGTAAAAAGGTTGACGCCTTTAAAATTTGAAGCCATTCTCTTTTTCAAGAATTTTTTTGTGTGTGTGTGAAGTTTTCTTTTCTCGGGAAAAGAAATATCAGGGATACAGCGATCTGACTTACCGAATAGATTCAGTGTGGCATGATAATATGTCGAAGCTAATCCGTTAAATGTAAGCAGTAATTGTGGAACCAGTATACCGGCATTCACCTACAAAGCAAACATCTATCACCTGATCGGATATGTCCGAAAAAAATATTGTTTGGTTTCTGGATAAGTGCACAAAAAATGACTTGAAAAAAAAACGGTCACGTGTAAGTTGACACGAAGTTTTTACGCTTAACCCAATTGCTTGCGTTTATTTTTGTGAAGTTATATAATGTTGTGATCAAATGGAAACTTACCTCTTTGATATATCTTCTTAACATCATAGCGTTTAGCAAGGGCAGGACTATAATTGGCAGGTTTGTCATCTGAAATATTCGAGTGGACTTGCTTTTCAGTCACAATAATCTTTGTATAGGCGAAGATGTTCCTTGCAGTCTTCTTCGGCTATAGCTTGGCAGAAGAAAAATTTTTTTTGCAAAAGTCAATCGTTTCACGAATAGGGAAACAGCTCATAACCTTTGTTTCAACTGAGTTGACGGCTGGAAGGCGGGGCTTCGTGACTTAATTAAAACAGCTCGCGCCCGCAACGCGGTCTGCGTCTCTCTCGCGCGCGTGCTCTGTGACCATTCCTGAGCCTTGACTAAGTCGCGAAGCCCCGCCTTCCCGCAGGCAATCCATTGAATTAAAGGGTAAACGCTCGCGCAGATTGATATAATTTAACTGGTCAAAAGAGTTGACTCGAAACTTCGCTGCCCTTCCGAGAATTGCGATTTATTCCTCATCCACCTTAGGCCTCGGACATACCTCACGCGATTTCAGTCGGGACGCGATTTGGCAATACTCCAAACGTTCATAACTCATCGTACGGGGTTTCCGAATGTACGAAAGATGGGGCATTTTATCAACCTACGAAAGTTATACAGTTTGTACAGTGCTGTACATTTGGGGTCTACCAGTATTGAATTTGAAAACATCTGGCAGATTGCCAGATCGCGTGGCGACTGGAATCGCGTGAGGTATGTCCCTTGCCTTAGTCAATTCTATCTCCATTTCTAATTGTTATTTCTTGCATTACTCGTGCCAACCATAAAGTTGGGATTCTATTATAATATTTCTTTTACTTCTTAGGCGATTTACTATTTTTGTCAACGCTAAGTATATAATTTTGAGGAGAAACTGCTTACAAAATAGGTGGTAAAGGTTTCTCTTTGGGCATTCTGTCATGCGAAGGGAGCATGCCACATATGGAAAAATCTTCTACTTTTTGCAAAAGAAAAATTCTAACTATGTAGTCAATTCGGTAGGGAGCTCAAATGCATTTCAAGTGTTCAACTCTAGTGGAAAGTTGAAAAAGAAACTAAAGGCAGAAAGAGGAGCCTTTACCTCTACCCATTTTTGTGCTAGTGAAGGTAAAAATTTGCTTATTGTGCGCAATTTGAATCGCTTTTCAAAATTGGTAGTTTTTTTATAATCCTTGCAAAGCTTTTTGAAAAATTGCTGGACCAAATGAACGACTGCGATGAAACCTAAATCCATTAAAATTGTCTTGCACCTGGCAATGGTTATTAGGTTTCAAGTCAAAGATGGAATTACAGAAAACAAAAGAGACATTTTGAAGTCTTCAGAATAAAACTAGAATCTCAAATTTCAATACTGAAGGGACTATTGTGGTAATTCATTACAGGACACAAAAGAATAAAAGAAATGTTTTAAAGTCTTCAGAATAAATTAGAATCTCGAATTTCAAATCTGAAAGAACTCTTGTGGCAATACGATATTCTATTTGATGATATAAGTACATTAAAAAAAACATAGATCTGGTATTTCTGCGCAAAAGCAGCAAAGATACTTACCGTATTTGCAAACTCGGCTACCAATGGTAAAGTTTGATATTTATAGGCACTTTCGCACCATGCATGGCCAGACTCGTACTCGAACCAGTTGGTCATCTGGAAAATGAATTTTCAAACAATATGAGAATTTGATTGTCGTTGAAATGCGCGGACGAGATGGGAAATGGAAATCTATGGGAAATTTGGGAGGAAGGGGGGGGGGGTATGGAAGGGAAGGATTCAAGAGTTTTTTATGCTTTCAAAGCAATTTTCTATGATTTATTACTTCCATAACAAGGAGAGCGATAAACACGCGATAATAGCTTGTAAGACAGACGAAAAAAGGAGTAAACACTCAGGGGGGGGGGGGGATAAAATGCAGATTGTCACGAATGTCATGTGGGATCCCCAGACAGGCTGTAAGGCTGTAACGAGTGGAAAACGTCACGGGTTTGAGAGAATGTGAGAAAGAGATAGATGATCTGTAGTCTGCGTAGCGCACAAAACGCACTACGACCACAAAGACGACAATATAAGAAGTTCGGCAAACTACAACTCCCCCCCCCCCCCTCCCTTCCCCCGGCTTTCGCCCCGTCTGACAAGGCGGGTGTGAAGAGGAGAGCGCATGGCCAGGTTGTTGTTTGAGACGAGACACATTTACACATGTGACAAAAGCTTGAAATTACCATTAGGTAATTTTTTAACGCGGCGCGGGGAGGGGGGCGGGAGGGGGAGAATAGAGAAAATTCCTTAGCTATGGGACAAACAACAGCATAGGTCACAGGTGAGAACAATGAACAATGGCGAGAAATGCCCTCCCCCTCTCCGGCTCCTCCTCCTCCCCTTTTCTTCACCTCGAAACTAGTTTTGAACTAATATGCTAACTCTGTTAACAAAGCCTATTCTACCTACTACTTTGTTCTCTTCCTTGTTCTTGTTGTCCTCTCTTCTCCCCCCCCCCCCCCTCCGCTTCAGCCCCCTGTTTTTATAGAGAAAAAGTGCTTTAGCCTTGGACAGAAGCAGAAATTGTTTGCGCCTAATCCCCGCATTTGGCCAGACGCTTTATCGACCACCCAGCTTGTGACGCTGAAGAAGTCGACTAAGGATTTCGATGGATTAGGCAACAAGTTGCTATTTTTCAAGGACATCGAGAAAAATCCAAGTGTAAGAGGGGTGGGGGAGGGGAGGGAGGAGGAAGTACTTTCCATGAGATTCTCGATAAGACTATTTGTATACATTAGATGTTTTGAGGAGTCTATATGTTGAAATGACGGATCAAAATTTTTATTCTCTTGAATTTTTTTCCTGATGAGAAGGACAGAAATGGAAATGAATGGATATGCATTTTTCTTTTGATTATTTGTATTTTTTCAGCAATTTCCTAGAATGATAAAATATAATTTTTTTCTCGTCCGATTTTTCAATTTTTTTTATCATAAAAAATCTTCATTGATTTCCTTTGGTTCAAATGAATGACCTTTCAGCGCAGACATTCCAACAATCTAGACTTTTCCCTTTTGGCACCGGTTTAACATTTTGACCTTCAGAGATGACTATTGAGTCGGGAACCTTGATGAAATGTTGCAATCACAAAGGGAAAGTTGAGGGCTCGTAAAATATAAAATATCTGCTCTCGGACGCAAAATGTCCGAAATAATCTAGGTGAATAGAAATAGGAACAATTTCGAAAAAATTTCATTAAAAAAATAACTTGATTAGTTCAAGCATTTGTAACCTGATTACAATTACGAAGTGTCAATATTTTTGCATGAAGAAATAATGCAAGGACCATAAACTGATAACACTCTTATCGAATAATTCAAAAATTCTGTGCAACTTACTGCCAAAAAGTTTATGCTATTATCAAACAACCAAATCACAAAAATAGGATATCTTTTCAAGGGAAACCTTTCATCCCTTTCTCTCTCTCAAACTTGTGCTAGACTTGTGCACTAAAAATTCAAGCTTTTGCTGTCATACTCCCCTTGGAAACTAAATTGGATTATACATTAAGAGATCTTGACAGCTTCTCCTTCTCTGCGGCATCAAATTAGATTTGTAGAACTTTGAAGCAATTCAAGAGTATTTTTGATAAGAATGCTGAGTTCTATAGTTATTTGAGGTAGTCAAAGCGACATTTGGAGGTCAAGAAATTATGCCCAACATTCGAATAGGAGAATATTTTTGGGAATCAATTAGCCGAAGAGTTGTTGAAATGGTTTGAAGTGTTATACGACTAATGCATTTTTTAAAAAATTAGCTATTGCAGATCCTTTTGGACGAGGAAGCCTTCCTAGAATAGCTATCCATGTCATAAGATTTTTATAGCATTCTCAAAGACAATAAAGACAATGAGATTTGTGACGTATAGATGTCTGGAAACCGAGCATGTTTATAATTTCTGAAAAAAAAGTGGAAGAAGCATAAGAACTGACATTCATTGAAGGAAAGAGTCAAAGAATTGACGGCAGCATAATTCATGATGCAAGTCTGGAAAAATCAAAAAAAATAGAGAGGAAAAGTGGACTGGTTAGAGGATGATTTTTAGGGTATATAGAGAACCCGTATGCAGGAGAAATTTCAAATTTTGATTAATTACTATTTACTCATTCCTCATAAGAAAAAAATGACATTCTTCCACGAGAAAAAATGAAAGCAGCTTCAAAAACAAGTTTCAAGAAAGACATTACGGATAAGAATGAATAAGCATGGAAAACAAGCTTCCATAATACTTTACGCTTAAATCTACTATTCAAAATCTTAAATATAACGCGAAAAAAACATAAATAAAAGTAATAAAATACCTAAAGAACTATACTTTTTAGAGAAAAGTAATTGATCAGCTACTCACTTTTGCTGGCAGTAGGTGAGAAATTTTATTGCGAATAAAGATTTTCATATATTTGTCTATAAAAACTTTGTTTCATAAAAAAAGTTTAAAAAACCTTGAATCATTCAACAAAATCAAAGTTCTATATCTTGAAAGAAGCACAACAAAGCAGACAATCATCAACATTCTTGTCTCGTAGCACGCGAGACAAGCACGTGGGAAGAATTAGGAGCACGGCTGAACCTATTTTGCACTTCGAAACTAAAGAAAAAGACAAATTCGCTTAAAGCGGAAAGGGTGCTTTACCTCTGTCCACAAATATGAGCCAAAAAAGTAACCATATGCATTTTCGTGAGTTTTGGAAAAATGACAAGTTTTGGATATCCTAAAATTTCGTACTATGGCCTTTTACGGATGAATTTATGGTTGACAGTGCCAAAATCGATGCTGGTGAGCTATTGTGAATTGCAATTATTTGTGCTATTCACCTTTGATCACATTTACACAATAGAAGCATATCTGATTCGACAACTATAGCATTTTTTGCTCAGATTGGATTCTGATTTTGTGATTTGGTAAAAAGAGTAATTGAGGGAAAAAACCAGTGTCAGTTTCCTGAATTTTTCCACACAATCAAAATAATTGTATCAGGAATTATGAGCTGCTTTGTAAGTTAATACTCACAGAGCCTTTTGATGTCTCGAACAAAGAACTACATATTAATTCGAAGGCGTAGATCAACTAAAAAATGAGCTAATTTTAGTGAAAACTAGCTGGCTTGCCCGGCTCCGCCGGGCCTGCCAGCTAGACCCGTGTACGTATGTTCCGGATAGAAATGTTTATTTCTGAACCGATTGGGACCGAACTTTGCACACATATACTTCGGGGCAGGGAGCGTGTCATAGGCTACTTTTCGTTATCGATCGATGTCGATTTTACCGATTTTTTGCAAAATTTGAGCTAGGGGGCTAGGATTTTGCACAGGGGGGTAATCGAGCATGCTGATCACCCCCTTCGGGGTGATCAGCATGCTCGATTACCCCCCTCTGCCAAATCCCAGCCCTCTAGCTCGAATTTTGCAAAAAATCGATAAAATCGATATCGATCGATAACGAAAAGTAGCCTATGACACGCTCCCTGCCCCGAAGTATATGTGTGCCAAGTTTGGTCCAAATCGGTTCAGAAATAAAAATTTCTATTCCGCACATACGTACAGACATACATACATACATACAGACAGACAGACAGACATTCAGCTTTATATATAAGATATCATCATAGATATAATTCCATAACATTATGAGAATTGGAGAAGGGCCGGGGGGGGGGAGTTAAGAATCAAGAGAGAGAGAGCAGACATGAGCAATTTTTTCCGGTCAGAGTTCATCACTGTTCCATGAATTGGAAACTTTGGAAATTACATAGGAAATGAATTTTCAATCTTTGAATTTTCAGCTAACAACCGAAATTTCATTCCAAAATTTCTAGCTCATTTGGATTTTGCAGCAGAAGGAAAAAGATATCATCACCCAGTCACAGAAATTTTTCGAGAAGGATTTGACAAAGATTCCAAAAGATGGGAAGTGTTCATTCTTGCCAAATTCGGTCGCAATGTATCTATTAAAAAAGAGAATTTTTAGTAAAATATTACAAAGCTCTAATTCACAAGCTGAAGAGGACCATACGAATGGAAGTGTTTAGTCTTTCATCTTAGCAGGTGTAAGGCAATGTTTGCGAAGTCATAGCCAAGCGTTCTCTGTCAGCAAAGCAAACTGAGTTCAGCTCTAATATGTTGGGTGGTCTTGTTGTCACTTACGAAGGTCAAAAAATCAAGAACTAAGTAAACACTACAAAATGTTTAGGGTAGGAGTAGGAGAGGTATGTAAATAATACTAACATACTTAGGATGAGAGTAGGGTAGGATTAAGACAAGAGTTTCTAAGTTATGGGACCAAAATTTTTGCCGTGAAAACATATGAACAGTCATCATGGAATACTATGATACTGATTTTATCAATTTTGAAATGACCAAATGATTTTTTCTGAAAAGAAATTTATTACTAGTTGTGTTTGCAAATTGTTTAACAGGAATATTAGTTTGTATAGACATTCAATCGCCGCATAAAAATTGAATTAAAGTTCTGACCACTTGATTTTTGAGGGTTTTTTGATAGTAAGAAGCAAATAAATATACAAGAACAGTTAGTGAGCATTAACTAAGGTTTCTGCTATCACTTACCAACTTGTTTGTCAACAAATCATTCGCATCACAGGTCTTTTTCGACGA